CTGTTCAGATGTACCGTGTACACACACACGTAGATGTATCTCGTACACACACACATACACAGACACGTACACACACTCGTACACACACGTGCACACACACGTACACACACTGTTCAGATGTACCACGTACACACACACGTACACACACTGTTCAGATGTACCACATACACACACACGTACACACGCACGTACACACACACGTACACACACTGTTCAGATGTACCACGTACACACGCACGTACACACACACGTACACACACTGTTCAGATGTACCACGTACACACGCACGTACACACGCACGTACACACACACGTACTCACACATATACACACACACGTACACACTGTTCAGATGTACCACATACACACGCACGTACACACACTGTTCAAATGTTCCAATTATTATGTTTATTTATAGATGAAGTTATAATGATTATAATAGATGAAGCTGTGAGAATTATTTACAGGTAAAGTTTGGATTATTTCTACAGTTGGGAAGTTTCTTTATTGTATCCATTATAAGGGTACTTTTTTATGAAGTTGGGATTTCTATCTATAGAGATAGAGTTGTTAGGGTTATTGATAATTCTTGAAGTTGTTAGGATTATTTATAATTCATGAAGTTGTTAGGATTATTGATAATTCATGAACTTGTTAGGATTATTTATAATTCATGAACTTGTTAGGATTATTTATAATTCATGAACTTGTTAGGATTATTGATAATTCATGAACTTGTTAGGATTATTGATAATTCATGAACTTGTTAGGATTATTGATAATTCATGAACTTGTTAGGATTATGTATAATTCATGAACTTGTTAGGATTATTGATAATTTATGAAGTTGTTAGGATTATGTATAATTCATGAAGTTGTAATGATTGTACAAAATGGTACTTGAGGTACAAAGATGCATTGATTAATTTGTTAACATGGAATGACTGTTTTATAAAGATTTTGATCTAGTACTTTTCTATGAAGTTTTTGAAGGCATAAAGATTATTTTATAAAGATTCGGGGATTATTTGAGATATAATGATTCTTTTATAGGTTATTCAAATGCTATCGATAAAGTTAAACATGAGAAAAGCGAGACATTGGTGAACATAGTCTAAATTATTATGAATTTGTATAGGGATGAAAACGCTGCTGTAAGAAGTGATAGAGAATACAGTGAATATAAGCTGATTGGGAGAGGAGTGGTGGAACCCACAGGGCAAGAGATCAAGGGGAAGACCTCGTGGAACTTGGAGAAGAATCACAGAAATCGATGTACAGAAAAGTGGGAAGACATGGAATAACATGAAGAGGCTAGCCCAGGATAGAGAAAGGTGGGGGGTGTTTGTCCGTGGCCTATACCCTGGTGCAGGGTGAGAGAGTGTTTGTCCGTGGCCTATACCCTGGTGCAGGGTGAGAAAGTGTTTGTCCGTGGCCTATACCCTGGTGCAGGGTGAGAAAGTGTTTGTCCGTGGCCTATACCCTGGTGCAGGGTGAGAGAGTGTTTGTCCGTGGCCTATACCCTGGTGCAGGGTGAGAAAGTGTTTGTCCGTGGCCTATACCCTGGTGCAGGGTGAGAAAGTGTTTGTCCGTGGCCTACACCCTGGTGCAGGGTGAGAAAGGCAATGATGATGGTAGAGGAGTGAGGCAAGGATGTATTATGTCACCAGACCTCTTTAACATGTACAGTGAAACAATCCTCAGAAACATAGAAGAATGTGCAGGTCTCAAAGTGAATGGAGAAAATATTGATAGCATCAGATAGATCTAGTGGCAGACTCCGACAAGGGCTTGTGTTGACGGCTTTTAGATACTGTTGGAATGGACAGACAACAGAAAGGGTTATTGTTGAACATGAAGAATACGGAATTCATGCTGGTTTTATTTTTAAGCGGTAAATCCTGTTTGTAATCTCCTAAACAAAGGTGGAAACATCAGTTAATTTCAACACTTCAAATATCTAAGATATATTAACTACATCTGATGCCAAATGTTCCAAAGAAATGAAATGAAGAATTTTAATAGCTAATGACACTTTCAATAAAATGAGCCCAATCATGAAATACAGAAACATCTCAATGACTTACAAAATAGGAATTCTAAACGGCTGTGTGTGGACAACCCTTCTATATGGCTGTGAATGCTGGACAATTACTAAACACAGGGGAAATAAAATGGAAGCAACAGAAATGTGGTTTCTTAGGCCTAGAGGAGACTGTTGAGAATATATGGGAAGGAAAAGAAATCTAATGAGGTAGTTCTTGATGAAGCACACGTGTGGCTAATGAGGTAGTTCTTGATGTAGCACACGTGTGGCTAATGAGGTAGTTCTTGATGAAGCCCACGTGTGGCTAATGAGGTAGTTCTTGATGAAGCACACGTGTGGCTAATGAGGTAGTTCTTGATGAAGCCCACGTGTGGCTAATGAGGTAGTTCTTGATGAAGCACACGTGTGGCTAATGAGGTAGTTCTTGATGTAGCACACGTGTGGCTAATGAGGTAGTTCTTGATGAAGCCCACGTGTGGCTAATGAGGTAGTTCTTGATGAAGCCCACGTGGGCCACTCGCTGGGGGAAAAAAAGCAATGGGGAAAAGACAACTGCAGTTTCCTATCAGTAAAGTAATCAGTGTCCTATCAGTAAAGTAATCAGTTTCCTATCAGTAAAGTAATCAGTTTCCTATCAGTAAAGTAATCAGTTTCCTATCAGTAAAGAAATCAGTGTCCTATCAGTAAAGTAATCAGTTTCCTATCAGTAAAGTAATCAGTGTCCTATCAGTAAAGTAATCAGTGTCCTATCAGTAAAGTAATCAGCTTCCTATCAGTAAAGTAATCAGTGTCCTATCAGTAAAGTAATCAGTTTCCTATCAGTAAAGTAATCAGTGTCCTATCAGTAAAGTAATCAGTGTCCTATCAGTAGAGTAATCAGTGTCCTATCAGTAGAGTAATCAGTGTCCTATCAGTAAAGTAATCAGTTTCCTATCAGTAAAGTAATCAGTTTCCTTAAGTTGTTCCCAGCAGACAGGGTGGAAGCAGCCGGCCTCCTAAATGAGGTAAACTGTGGGTTTGTGTGTCAAACGTTTCCAATGGATTGTCGGAGATTTGAGACGTGTTTTTTCTCTCTTTTGTCCCTGCAGGCTGAAGGAAGGGGATTGGCACAGAGTCTTGGGGGCGGGGGTGGGGGCGGTGTGGAGGGTGGGGGCGGTGTGGAGGGTGGTGGTGGTGGTCATGGTGGGTGGGTGGAGGGTGTTCTCGGCAGTGGGAAGGCAGCTACAGAAGCTGAGAGTGGCAAGGTGGAGACAGAGAGCAGCCCAGCAGCCGCGCCACGCCCCTCTCTACTGTCCATCCCCACCCCCACACACAGCCTGGACCCACAGAGGTCAGTGGGTCAGTCTGGGTTAGAGTTAGGGTCAGTAGGTGGGTCGGTTGGTGTGTGTGTTGGTGGGTCAGTGGGTGTGTCTACAGGCGTTGCTGGCGATGTTTCTGGGCACAGCATACCGGGCATAGCTGTTGTTGGTTACAGGAGGGGGGGAGGGGAGGGAGGAGGAGGAGGAGAGGGAGGAGGAGGAGGAGAGGGAGGAGGAAATCTGTGTCACATTCCTGAAGCCAGGGAGTCTGTGTTGTGAGGGAAGATATGGGACACACACAGACATATACGCACACACGTATACACATGTACACGTATACATACACATATCATGGACACACATATACACACACGTACACACATGACAGATTCTACCTCCCAGCCGGGGTATTGTTGGCTGTGAACAGCTGGGGTATTGTTGGCTGTGGTCGTGGGCCACACAGCTGTATGCTGTTGGAGTCACTGTACGCAGCTTTTGCTCCCTGCTGTATACAGCTTAGTCCTGGTATACTCGGAGCCCAGATTTGTGTGGAGAGAGGAGTGAGAGAAAGAGGAAGACCACGTTGTCACAGTTTTCTGATACAACCTCTCTCACAGACAAAGACTCACAGTTTTCTGAATGGGAAGATGTTTCAGTTTTGGAAGTTACAGAAACATTTTTTCTATTTGTGAGTGCAGATTTTGGAAATTGGAGAATTTTGGGAAATTACAGGAAACTTTTTCTTTTATTGTGCGCGTGTTCCCGATTTCTGAAGTTTGCTGCAGAGTTTGTGGATCCAAGAACTGACTGGGGTTGTCTATTCAGCCCTCTGTCTGTCTGTGTAGGCTTGTGGTGGACAGGTGGACGTCTGTCTGTGTGGACTTGTGGTGGACAAGTGGACGTCTGTTTGTGGTGGACAGGTGGACGTCTGTCTGTGTGGACTTGTGGTGGACAGGTGGACGTCTGTCTGTGTGGACTTGTGGTGGACAGGTGGACGTCTGTCTGTGTGGACTTGTGGTGGACAGGTGGACGTCTGTCTGTGTGGACTTGTGGTGGACAGGTGGACGTCTGTCTGTGTGGACTTTTGTCTTCACAATAATGTTTGTTTCATCTCCTGGCTCAAGTTTTGACGTTGCTGTTGTTGTTGTTGTTGCTGTTGCTGCTGTTGCTGCTGTTGCTGTGGCACAGAGTGACATGTGTCTGTGGTAGGTCCAAAGACTTGACACGTAGTGCTGTAGAATTTTTATGACATGACGTGACATTGTGACATGACGTGACATGATGTGACATTGTGACAGGACATGACATTGTGACATGATGTGACATGACGTGACATGCCGACATGACGTGACGTTTTGACATAACATGATGTTTTGACATGACATGACATTGTAACATGACGTGACCTTGTGACATGACGTGACATGACATGACACATGACGTGACATTGTGACATGACGTGACACTGTAACATGACGTGACCTTGTGACGTGACGTGACCTTGTGACGTGACGTGACCTTGTGACGTGACACTGTGACATGACGTGACATTGTGACATGGCGTGACACTGTGACATTGTGACATGGCATGACACTGTGACATTGTGACATGACGTGACATTGTGACATAACGTGACATGACGTGACACTGTGGCA